GAGTTAGGACAGTTTAACAATACACTGCAATGCCTGGAATGTCAGACTAATTCCAGTTCAAAAAGACAAGCCCACAGCTACTAAACCACTGGATTACTCCGTTTGTGTAAATGTGCATGTATAATCACAGAAAATCAGACTTTTTCACTGCTCAGTCAATCAATATGTTTGTAATAGTGTTCATAGATTTCTTGGTCTCTGTGTAGTATGTAGAAAAAATACTCTGATCCCTCTCTACGCAGTGACCCCTGAGGTTTGGACTGAATTAGATCGCATGCTCTGTGGGGGTAGCTTTGTGGACTGAGAGACTAGAGAAAACAATAGACCCTATGTGAGAGAGGCAAAGGCAGAGGGCAGCGCTCGAGCTGATAGAGGCTTATCGCCGTGGAGACCAGGCTGGGGGCTATGTTGGCAGCTTCACATTAAGATTACAACAGTTGTCCCCTGCCTGGATGAGACTGTGTAGAACGCACTCAGGCTAAGCATTGACATGATTCTGGAAAAGGGTCAGCTTGTGGGCAGATATTCATGAAGTCAGATTCTTAACTTGCTTCTGAGTTTTGGAAGGAGAGTGGGCAAAATGCTTCATATGGGGTGTACATCCTTATCTGGTTTAAACAAAATTCTGCAAAGATGTACAACAGTCGATACATCATGTCATGACTGTGTGAACTAACTCTGCTTTGTTCTCATGTCAGGACTGTTGAAGATGCACTGGTCTCCGGAGCAAACCACCCCCTTATCTCAGTGGCCTGAGCAACACCTAGATGTCACCTCTACCACCTCGCCCCCATCTGCCCACAAACACGACCCCTATGCTACAGCTGCACGTCGCAGTTATGCCCCTGCAGGTTACCCTTGGGCCAGCGATGACATATCAGCCCTTACTGCTTCCTCTTTGCTCAAACGATACGCTGAAAAGTATTCAGGCCTGGAGCTGTCCTATGAACGTCCTGCTTTAGGGGCCTACTCCGAGCCTGGAACTTTCCTGAAAACTGAATCTGAGCCCTGGGCTCTGGGCCAGAGCATGGAGTGTTACCCTGGACTGGAGGCATTGACTGGCACCAAGGTGGGCTCTGCCCCCGTGGGAATCCCAACCACAGGAAGTGTGACAGTAGTGAGCAGCAACGTGACCTCTGAGCCAGGCTACAGTGGCGCTGGCTCCTGCAGTGCCCCATCATCTCAGGAATATCCTCCTGCCTACAACAGCACCTACCTGACCTCAGGATACTGCCCACAGCCCAGTGCAGCACTTCCCCCTGCCCCTCTGCACTCTTTGCAGGCCACACCCACTCTAATGCCCAGCTACAGTGCCAGTGCTCCTGCCTACAACTACCCTCCAGGGTGCTACCCCCAGACCAGCCTGTCATCTGGATACAGTCACCCCAGTGCCTCCTACTTGCCCTCTGGGATTAGTGTCCCAACTCCTCTGACTCCTAGGCCAACCATGTTGGGGGGCAGTTACAACTACCCATCTCACACCCTTGGAGGGAGCTCTGAGGCAGGGGCACCACTGAAACGCAAGGCCTTTGAGATGGCAGAGGAAGAACAGGAGGGAGCAGAGGTGGAGGGATCACGCTACAGAAAGTATGGTAACGGCCATGGAAACAGTCACAGCAAAGGCCACAGCAACGGGCATGGCAACGGTTATGATTTGAGTGGTTCCAGCTCAGAGCCACATGGCTACAAACCTGGAAAGCCTCTCATGTCGCCCCCTTATGGTGCAGCAGGGGAATACAGCCCACCATCAGGCCTTGCAGGGGAGAGTGTATCAGGGGAGCACAACTTTCCTCAGCAGCAGAGAATCTCAATGAAGATACCCGCATCACACACACTATCTGAGGACCCTGCTGGAGGCCACTGACAGCCACAGTCTGCAATTGAGAGAATTCCCTTACTCTCTAAAACCAGCCAGGGTTCTTACTCAAGACAGACTTGGAAGAGTAGCATTAGATTTGTTAGTGAAAGGTTGATTTCACTTCCAAACACAAGATGGCACAAGACTGGTGTTTCTCGTGCATCTTTTCGTTATTCGTGTTATTCCAAAGATTCAAAGGAGCATTTCACCCTGTAAAGCTGAGGTAAATCTGAGGGGTGAGGTTGGGACATTCTCTACATAGATAGCGTTAAGACAGTCTAAATGGATGAGTAGCTGTTTCTCTCAGGATCCTATTTATTTCCTTTCTGCTACTGGGGCAGCAGTACTGCAGTGTTGCTGATTGTTGGTGTAATTATCTAAGGCCATTAAAAGGCCTTTGACCGCAATATGTTCTACCACACCACAAAAATCATTTCTGACCAAAAAGTAAGGGGAGCAATAACTGAAATGGTGAGACTGCCATACTCTTTCAGCACAATCACTGCTGCATCACATAGATGACTCC